TGAGAATAATTTTGGAAATCCATACACAACACATTGTTCAGCCAGCTATTAGCAAAAATTTAGCATCATGTCCTATATATTTCAAATCAAGCAACTTTAGATTCATTAGCAATGGCGTGGTAAAAAAAAATGCTCTCTATTGGGAAAAACTTAAAGGTCATACTAAACTCTATGAGATACATTTTTTTCCATCTTAAAGGCTGATTATGTATGTATTATGAGAAACAACGCTAATATTCAACTATGTGGTTTAATTAAGTAATGGATGACAATTAGTTATATTTATTTCTTTTTTCATTCAATAATTATAAGCAATATTTATATTATATTTTTCTCTATTCATGGAGGTCTAAACACATTATGCATAATTGGATCACTTTAAAAAAGGTTATGTGCATAACTAAGTTAGAAAACAATCATTTTGTGCATTTCAAATCCTCTATTATATATCCATTATTATATATCATATTTCTCGACAAAATTCTTCCGGCCAACGGGCCGGCTCCTGTGCTAGTAGAAAAAAGAGAGAAGAACGAGAGAGAGAGAGTGAGAGAGAGAGAGAGAGAGAGAGAGAGAGAGATGTAGGTAAGCGGCGGCCGATTCGATCTGTTGGGTTTAGGGTTCACTTTTCGTTTAAGATGTTTATATATCTTTCCAAATGCCCAAATTACCCCTAGGATTTCCCAACAATTGCCTTCTGTCCACCGTGTTTTTGTCTAAATACCGAAATACCCTTGTTGTCTCTGTCTTAAAAACGATAACAATATTGAAATTGAGTTTGCCGAGTTTCGAACTCGAGTCCTCCAAGCTTTCACACATCCTTCCTTTTGTAACCAGCAACTTAACCAATTGGGCTGCTGGCCCATCATGCGTAAATCTATTCATTTTGTTTCCTTTTATTATTTAATATTCTTAATAAGAAATGTTGAATGCGGATTAAGTTTATCTTGTTTCTTTTCTAACACAGCAAATTGCTTCTTAGTAGCTAAAATCTTCATGTTCTCTTTTCATAAGTTCATTATAAATCAACTTAAATCTCATTAACAAAAATTTTAAATTCAAGAACCACAATTGGGAAACGTGGTAAAAATTGTATTTAAAATTATCAAATTGATAACGAACTACGTGGACTTTGACCCTGTCTAACGAGTACGTAGGCAACCGATAAGGTTCGAGTCCAACTAACTAATCAATTCTATATTCAATTTTTACGTCAGTGGGCGTATAATTAAATTACAACTAATACGATATAAATTCTTTAGTGGTCCAGTAAGGCCCTAAAAAAACCTAAAATACCTAATAATAAACTAATACGTCAAATGGACGTTTAGTTAAATTACACCTAATGAATAGCAATTTAGTAATGGTCTAGTGGGACCCTAAAAATACAAATTTATTACTAAAAATACACCCAACTCGCATAAAAACTTATCGACTTAAGTAGTACCAATTTTGGGCGCTATAGGGTGTGATTTCACTTCCCCACACGTAACCGTACTCCCAAACCTAAATTTCTATATTTCTAATTCGCAGACCAAGCCCTGGTTCGAACCCTAAAGTTAGAGCCGTCCAAAGAGTGTTTGATCCACTCCATGTAAGATCGATGACGACTCCCAAAAGCGAACGCGACCCCGACCCGGAGCCCGGAGGGACGGTTGTGACACTAATATAAGAATGTGAAACGTAAGTCCAGTTTTGGTACAGTAAAAGAGTAGATGAAGTGGGACAACAGTAAATAGCTGCCAAATTAAAAAGAACAAACCGATATGTGATTGAAGCCATTGTCCTCTTCCAAAGCTAATTCATGTAAGTGAGTTTTTGTTTGCGCTTCCTATGATTCAATAATAATTGTTTCATTTCCCAAACAATTATTAGTGTTGGGACGCTTTACACTATATATATATAGCTACTCTCATTTCTTTCACGTACGTGATTTTCTTTGAATTGCATTCTTATTTATTTAGGTCCATTAATTTCACGGTTTTCCACTTGGAAGAAAAGAAGATATATATACATGCATGTCTGTATTTTTGTTTTTCTTACAAAAGAAATTAGGTCAAAACGTGGTCAATCTGATCATAAGATGTGTGACAGCTAACGGTAGTACGTACTCCATGTAATCAATAGGATGAGGAATATAAAGCAAAAATCGACAACTATATATGCAAAATAAAACAAGAAAATGAAAAACGTGGCACGCAGTTTTACGTGGTATCTCTGATTGACGGATCGGGACTAATCCACGGGAGAGATGAGCCTCTCCAGCTATGACTTTTTATTACTAACTGACTTGTGACGATATGCCGAGAGGCCTACAACTTGTTTATATAGAGTACTGCCTACTGCTATTGTATTACAACAGGGTAAATGAACACAAGAACCACAAGGACTGGAATTCCTTGTTCCACACGTAGTAGTAGCACAAGCAGTCGGGAGCTTGAGCTCATCACTAGAGGAAGACATGGGCTTGGACCCTTCACCAGTAGACTAGTCCAATACGGGAGACAACTCGCTCACGCACGAAATAACAGTCAATCTCGGCATGCTTGGTGCGCTGATGGAAGACTGGATTAGCAACAATGTGAAGAGTTGTTTGATTATCAAGAATAGAGTCGTAGGACGTGACTGGGGAACACCGAGTTCACTAAGAAGCCTGTGAAGCCAAAGGAGAAGACCGGGCTACTACCTTCTATTTCTTTGTGCGCCAGGATACATGAGCATTATCAAGGCAAATGAAGAAACCACTCGTAGAACGACGAGTGCTCTTACAACCTGCCCAGTCGGCATCACAGTAAGCCTCGAGATCAAGGTTACCATCAGCAGGAAAATACAGCCCCTGTCCAGGTGCATGCTTAAGGTAACGTAGGATGCGAATAGCTGCATCCATGTGAGCTTGAGTTGGGGCATGTACAAACTGAATGAGGATATTAACACCATAAGTGATGTCTGGGCGAGCGATAGTGAGATAAAGAAGGAGACCAATAAGACGACGATAGGCAGAACTATCAGCGAGAACCACACTGGACGGACTGGTAAGGTGATGGTTTTGCTCGACGGGAAAGGCGCTGGAACGTGCAGCCTGAACCCCTGCTTCTTCAAGAATATAAAGGGTGTACTTATGCTGAGTGAGAATGGTTCCTTGCAGAGAACGGGAAACCTCAATACCCAAGAAATAACGAAGGGGACCCAGATCTTTGATGCGGAAACGACTGTGGAGAAAGGACTTGACTTGGGTGATGAAGGTCATGTCGTTGCCAGCAAGGATGCCATCATCCACATAAATAAGTGTCGTGACGAAAAGAACATCTCAAAGATAGATGAAAAGGGAGTAACCCGCTGGTGAGGCACGAAAACTGAGTTCACAGAGACCAGCCGTGAACTTGTAGTACCCATTTCGAGAAGGCTGACGAAGACCATAAACTTGTGAAGACGACATACTCGCTTATCCCCCTTTTCGGCAAAACCAGAAGGTATGCCCATGTAGACTTCTTCATGGAGATCATCATGAAGGAATGCATTATTGATGTCGAGTTGATGAATGAACCATCCTCGATTGACTACGACATCGATTAAGCAATGGACAGTGACAAGTTTCGCAACTGGAGAAAAAGTATCGTGATAGTCAATACCTTCGATCTGAGTATAACCTTTGGCGACGAGACATGCGTTGTAGCGTTCAATGGTGCCATCAGGTAGATACTTGATTTTAAATACCCATTTACAGTCGATAATGCGGCGCCCAGGAGGGGGTATGACATGTCTCCACATGCCATTCTGGACTAACGTAGTGATCTCTATGATCATAGCTTCACGCCAATAGTCATACTGGACATCTTGGTTGAAGGTCTTGGGTTCTTCATGACGAGTGACGGAAGCCAAGAAAGCTCGATACTCAGGAGTGACTCTTGAATAATTGATATGTGCTGATAAAGGGTACCTGACAGATTCAACTGTATGGACAGTGGTGTCATAATCATCCAGCCGGTTCGGACGGGTGCGGTCACTACGTCGAAGAGGCTCGAATGGCGAAACTTCAGGTCCCATGTGACTGGTGGGCGGAGGAGCTGAAGGGGAAGACTTGGCTTGCTCGGCTTGGACTGGGCCAGAGGGAGGATATGGGCCAGTCGAGTCGATGGACGAGAGACCCAAACTAGAGACTGGATCTGGATTAGTTGTTGGGCCGGAGGAAACTAGCAAGATGTGGGCTCAAAGGAGTTGAGTTGGGCGGATCTTGGTCTGACAGGCCGGTCGATTGGGAAATAGCCACATCAAACTCAAAATGCTATGAGGTATCCAATGCAGACTTTGCTAATCAGGAGATCGGAAAGGAAAGTGATATTCAACAAACAGAACGTCCCGGGAAACGATCATCTTCCGAGAAACCAGATCATACAAACGATAGCCTTTTTTATTTGAGGGAGATCCTAAGAAGACACAAGCATGCCCCCGGTCGGCGAATTTGTGTAGACCACGACATGTGTCTTTTTCATAAACAAGACATCTGAAAACCGGTAGATGATGATAGGGTGCAGGTTTGCCGAAGATAGCTTCAAACGGATTCTTACCTGTTGTTGTTGTTGGAAGACGATTGATCAAATAGACAGCTGTTAGTCTAACACCCCACCCTGTACATATTACCTAATCATATTGTTTGTACATTTGCAGGGGAAATAAAACTAGTGTTACATTAATTACCAAAATTTACCCAAATAAAATTTCGACATGAATTACTCGCGTAATGGGCTAACAGTTCTTGTAACTAAAACCTGCAAAATAATTTATCTGAATCCCTGCATCCATAAACATACACATATACCTATAACCATATGCATTGGCTTTCATAGCCATAGTCACCATTTTCATACTCCACAACTGCATACCATACTTATACATACCATAATCATTACAACTTACATAGTTACACAAAATATACACATATCATCAACTTTCCACACCTGTGGATATCTCACACTACATCAGAAGCTAGTATGCACAAGAAAACGTTCTCAAAACATTTTAATAAAAAGGTGTGGATCACTGGCCAAAATCCCAAGTAGTCGTCCAAGCACAGAATAGTTGAAGACCATACCTCATCTTGGCTTCAACTCTAGCTCCTCTCTCACATAACACTTATCTACTACTGCTGCTGATGATCTGCTTATACATAAGCAGAGAAGAAGAATAAAAGAGGGTCAGCTCATAGCTGAGTGAGATAATCATAGCATCGTGAGTTCATAACAGAGCATACCCCTACCATACATCTAGCAAACAAGCCAAAGCACTAGGATGAGACCTCAGCCATCCGACATCCCAATAGGAAAAAGACTCAACCATCTTGACTTATGCATATGCATCTAATCGTGTTTTAATCATAGGCGCCTGACTACTCCCATGCTAATTACTCTCCCGGGAATACGGACCAAACATCTCGTGGATGTGGTCATATCGGACCCACCACTGCCGGTGTAGTCATATCGGACCTGACACCAATCTGGGTGTGGTCATATCGGACTCAACACCACTCTGGGTGTGGTCATATCTCATGATGAATCAATGACCAACACCACATTAGGTGTGTGACATAACATATCATAACGGAGTAATAACGGAGTAATAACATATCATAACGGAGTAATAACATATCATTACTATGCAATTGACCATGAGAACAAAACACTCTTATTTGGTATCCTTATACATAATTCATATCTCATCTTACTTAATCATAATTCGTTACTTGTAGATGTACTTGAACTGGCCATAATTGGCTCAACATTACATAGGTAAACCAGGATTCGTATAGTTGCACTTCCTCGAAATAAACCCTCGTGCAAGTCATCCTCCTTCAACATCATAATATCACCAGGGAATATATATTTTCCCACTTGTGCATCCAAATACAACAATCATGAAAAATCATACCTAATCACCTTCTCGAACCATCATAAAGCATATTAACAGTCAAGCCCACAATTTGCAACATATACACAATCATCAGCATAAACAAGGTCCATATCGATTAGGGCAAGTCAATAATATCATACAACAATCCATGGTTCATCATATAGAAGAAAAGTCCATACACCCCTAATCATGCCATTATAGTTCACCTAGATCAATTCTAGGCATCAATATATAACTATCGTGATACGATAAACCCGGTATGCCGTGTAATCCCTCACCATTTCTGGCCGTTCAAACACCGATCTAAGCTTCTCGTACTAAAACTTCACTTTTCTCAAACAAACTCGTAATCAAAATCCGACATTGTCCTAATCTCCCCTGCAGTATCCCCGTCAATGTTAGTACTAAGCTTCGGATCAAATTCTCGATAAAAACATATCAAACCCTGGCTGGAGCTAAATTCAGCGATCCCGGCTCCGACCTAAATAATAGCCAAAATTCATGGATTAGAACCAGAGGATTAATTACCTCACTGCAGAAAGCTTGTATATGAAATTTGGGCTTAATCCGGCTTTCGGATACTCGAAAACTCCAAATTCCTTCAACCGGAACCCTAAGGAATTTGTGAACCAAAAGAGCTATATAAACCCATAAACTTATCAACTATATGGTATGGAAGAATTATATGTCACTTACATGATTTTTTTCACCGTAAAAAATCCTAGAAACTGGTCGAGATTTCTTCGACCGCTCGGTGCGCGCTCTTAGTTCTCTCTGCAGGGGAAGTCAGAAATGGAAGATGGAAATGGATCAGAGGGGATTTTTTTAGATGTATTTATATAATTGTAGCGGTTGCAGGTCCTGCTACTTTATTAAAGTCCCTCTCCTAGTGACACACAAGCATGTGTCTATTAAATTAACATATAATTAATTAATATATATTACTATATATTTAAATATAGTAATTGGTCCTTATCCGATCGATTGATAATCGGATATTTGTCGAAATATTAACAAAATGCTCGATTTTAAATCGCGAACTTTCTAGCGATCGAGATATGGGTTTTGCCGGAACGGGATGTTAAAATTCTTCCCTCTTAAAAGATTTCGTCCCCAAAATCTAATCTTGAGTTGTACCCTAAGTCCGCTTACTTACTCTTAATATGGTCTATCGTAGATAAACCATTACCTAACTCTTAGGTTATGTGATTCATAGCATATAAGTTAACACATAACACCTCATGTTCCCATGTTTAGGTTTCAAAAACCTATACTGAGCTATCACAACAAAGCACATCAACAAGTTCGAAACATAACTTATCAACAAGTTCGAAACATAACTTATTAGGCAAGATTGTTAACCTGCAAAGTAGGTTGCTACTAACACAAGGTTATATCAACCTACAAAATGGTTACCACAATATCATCAAGATTCATATCTCTATTCAAATATCTACCATCACAACTCATCATGTTAGCACAGCCTAAACCAACTGCATTGCATAGCTAGCCACTATGCTTCTCGATCGGTTAGTAGTGACACTAAAAGTACTTCTGTGCAAACTACAAGGAAATATTGGCCTTAGTTTGATCCACACACCATTTGTGTCTAACAAAGTTACTCACTTGGTTGAAACAAAACTTTCTTCAAAATCATTACTTGGACAACAATATAAAAACTCCACATATTTTCAGAAATCTCTTAAACCATAAAATTTTCAAGATTCCTTCAAATACTCAAAATCATGTTTGACCATATGCAACTGACTATGCAACACATCATCACCTTTGGTCCCAATCCTGGAAAGTTTAGTGCAAGTACATGTATGGAGTACTCCATGCCCTTTTGAGGGTGATCAGTCCTCAAGAGCGAAAGTAACATACCCATAATGCAGAAAACAAACCAGCTCTGATACCAAACTGTAACACCCCACCCTGTACATATTACCTAATCATATTGTTTAAACATTTGCAGCGGAAATAAAAACTGGTGTTACATTAATTACCAAAATTTACCCAAATAAAATTTCGACATGAATTACTCGCGTAATGGGCTAACAGTTCTTGTAACTAAAACCTGCAAAATAATTTATCTGAATCCCTGCATCCATAAACATACACATATACCCATAACCATATATATTGGCTTTCATAGCCATAATCACCATTTTCATACTCCACAACTGCATACCATACTTATACATACCATAATCGTCACAACTTACACAGTTACACAAAATATGCACATATCATCAACTTTCCACACATGTTGATATCTCACACTACATCAGAAGCTAGTATGCACATGAAAACGTTCTCAAAACATTTTAATAAAAAGGTCTGGATCGCTGGCCAAAATCCCGAGTAGTCGTCCAAGCACAGAATAGTTGAAGACCATACCTCATCTTGGCTTCAACTCTAGCTCCTCTCCCACCTAACACTTATCTACTGCTGCTGTTGATGATCTGCTTATACATAAGCAGAGAAGAAGAATAAAAGAGGGTCAGCTCATAGCTGAGTGAGATAATCATAGTATCGTGAGTTCATAACAGAGCATACCCCTACCATACATCTAGCAAACAAGCCAAAGCACTAGGATGAGACCTCAGCCATCCGACATCCCAATAGGAAAAAGACTCAACCATCTTGACTTATGCATATGCATCTTATCGTGTTTTAATCATAGGCGCCTGGCTACTCCCATGCTAATTACTCTCCCGGGAATACGGACCAAACATCTCGTGGATGTGGTCACATCGGACCCACCACTCCGTTCAAACACCGATCTAAGCTTCTCGTACTAAAACTTCACTTTTCTCAAACAAACTCGTAATCAAAATCCGAGATTGTCCTAATCTCCCCTGCAATATCCCTGTCAATGTTAGTACTAAGCTTCGGATCAAATTCTCGATAAAAACACATCAAACCCTGGCCGGAGCTAAATTCAGCTATCCCGGCTCCGACCTAAATAATAGCCGAAATTCATGGATTAGAACCAGAGGATTAATTACCTCGCTGCAGAAAGCTCGTATATGAAATTTGGGCTTAATCCGACTTTCGGATACTCGAAAACTCCAAATTCCTTCAACCGGAACCCTAAGGAATTTGTGAACCAAAAGAGCTATATAAACCCATAAACTTATCAACTATACAGTATGGAATAATTCTATGTCACTTACATGATTTTTTCACCGTAAAAAATCCTAGAAACTGGTCGAGGTTTCTTCGACCTCTCGGTGCGCGCTCTTAGTTCTCTCTGCAGGGGAAGTGAGAAATGGGAGATGGAAATGGATCGGAGGGAATTTTTTTAAATGTATTTATATAATTGTAGCGGTTGCAGGTCCTGCTACTTTATTAAAGTCCCTCTCCTAGTGACACACAAGCATGTGTATATTAAATTAACATATAATTAATTAATATATATTACTATATATTTAAATATAGTAATTGGTCCTTATCCGATCGATTGATAATCTGATTTTTGTCGAAATATTATCAAAACGTTGTATTTTAAATCGCAAACTTTCTAGCGATCGAGATATGGGTTTTTCCGGAACGGGATGTTATAGTTAGAACACACTCTCCCCAAAACTGAATCGGCAATCCTGCATGAAAACGAAGAGCTCTTGCATTGTCTAGGATGTGTCTATGCTATCTTTCGACTGGTTTGAAAGTGCAGCCCATGTTGTGAATAGAAATCTTGAAGAGTAGCAGACCAAAACTATTGTCGTTGTCAGTTTGTATGCGGCGGATACGGTGATTAAACTGAGTAAGCACCATTTCTATGAACATGAGCAAATACTTTGTGAATTTTGACTTGAAACGCATCATATACACCCACATTGCAAGACTAAAATCATCCACAATGGTCAAAAAATAATGAGCACCTCTTAGAGAAGGGATATTGTAGCCGCCCCACAAATCAATTTGAATTAACTAAAAACAATCCAACGTTTTTATTGAACTAGCTGGAAAAGGGGTTCGAGTCTGCTTTGCACGAGAACATGAATGAAAAATATCCTCACTTACACGTAACCGAGGTGACAAAAAATATGCAAGATGCGCCATCTTCGAGGTGGACGGATGGCCCAACCTTGAGTGCCAAGTCTTTGCCAAGACTTCAGTCCCTCCAGCTGCTGCAAAAGCTTGACAACCATGATGCTCGAAGAGATGCAGATAATAAAGGCCATCACAGAGAATCCCCTTCCCAATCACGCTCTTGGATTGTAAGTTTTGGAGAATACAGAAATCATGGAGAACGATCAAAGCAACGTCGTTCTCCTTTTTCAATCAACTAACGGATAATAGATTGCACCTAAACTGTGGAACATGGAGTACTCTATCCAATTTTAGACCAGAAGATAGCTTGACCTAACCAACTTTGGCGACTGGGATGTTGGTTCCATTAGGTATCTTGACGGGACAACTAGAGGTATCATTTACGACATTATAAAGCAACGAAACATCATAGACTATGTGTTCATTGCACCCTGAATCTATCAACCATTTTGAACTGGGTATGGACATACCTGCCATGTGAGAAGAGGGAGAATCAGCTGGGGTCGAGTTCGTAATGCCTGACTATGAGAAAAAAAGACGCAACTGCTCAAGTTGATGTATTGAGAACCCCGACACTAGACTCTTGGTCTCAACCTGGGACACCTTGGGCTGCTATCCTTCTTTTGGATTGCGGCTACGTTGGCCGTTCTGCAAGTTGCTTGAAAGACTCATCGCGACTCGGCCAACCTATGATATCATAACAGGTTTCTTTTAGGTGACCCATTTTTCCGCAATGTGAACATTTTGAACGAGCTCGCTCACGATTCTCAGACGAACGATTATTTCGTTCACTGTCTCCTTGAGTGCTGAAAGAAGCTGCCTCGACATGAGGTCTACGTTTCTACGCAATGAGCCTTTGCTTCTCATCAGAGGAGACGATGTTGAAAGCTTCCATCAGGCTCAGAGTTGGTTTCATGGTGAGGAATTGGGTTCTCACTGTTCCAAAGCTCTCGTCAAGTCCCATCAAGAAGTCGAAGATGCGGGAGCTCTCGTCCTTTTCTTTCGTTCGATGTTCCAGCCCACAAGTGTAGAGACCACATGTGCACTTTGGTGAGGGAGAAATTGATTGTGACTCTTCCCACAAAGTTCGTAGACGCGTGTTTTTCTTGCTGCAGCATGCTCACGAGGCAACGAATTTCATAGGCGCGTGACGTGCTTCTTTGACCGAAGCGATCCCTTAAATCGATACAGATTTCTAGGGTTGTGCGGGCATACCTTATGCTGGCACGAACTTCCTAATCCATGGCCGTGCGTAACCATCCTTTGACTGTGGCATCACATCGCGTCCATGCTCGTAGTTCAGGATCAGCTTCAAGTTTAGGGACTGTGCCATCAACAAACCCGTATTTGTTTTTGATGATCAGAGAATCGGTCATCTCAATGACCCACTCTCATTATTGCTCGACGTGAGGATATCTCCAACCTGCAATTGACTTGCAGTTTCAGACGGATGGAGATAAAGAGGAGATGACGGACCTTGATCCTTGTTTGGCGCGACAAATGTTGAAGTAGACGGCTTCTTCCCTTCGTCGTCGCTCATGATGAAGACTTGACGATTCCAGGATTAGAACTACTCTGATACCATGCAAACTAGAATGAGAAAACGAAAAACGAGACATGCAGTTTTACGTGGTATCCCCGATTGACGGATTGGGACTAATCCACGGGAGAGATGAGTCTCTCCAACTATGACTTTTATTACTGACTGACTTGTGATGATATGGCCGAGAGGCCTACAACTTGTTTATATAGAGTACTGCCTAGTGTTATTGTATTATAATAGGGTAAAGGAACACAAGAACAACAAGGATTAGAATTCCTTGTTCCACACGTAGTAGTAGCACAAGCAGTCGGGAGCTTGGGCTCATCATCAGAGGAAGACATGAGCTTTGACTCTTCACCGGTAGACTGGTCCAATATCTAGAATTTGAACATGGCATGTTTTTGTAAATGTGGATGTTTCCTCATTCCCACACTTTTCATTTTGTATGCGCTTAGGTGTGTCATGTATTTTCAACTATATTATTCGGTTTAGTATATTTATAAAGAAATTATATTAGGAAATTAAGTCGAAATGACATATTGACATGTGAGACTCAATTCCTACGAGTGGATTTTCAAATATTTCCTATCATCGCTAGATTCTGAAGCCAATGTGATTTTTTTTAAGAATGAAAGATGTTTTTTTTATGAATGGTTGTGGTATATATATCATCAAAAATAGGGAACTGTTGTGGTAAGAAACCCTCACCACTGGGGAATGAACCTATAAACTACTACATATTTATAGAACAAAGAAGTTAGTTAAAAGAAGTGACTCGCTGCATCCACCACAAACAATAATAGTGTCTTTCTTAATCTGAAGCACCACCTCTGCAGCTGCAATTTTCATGTTACCATATCTGGCAGCGCACCTGTCCCTCCATATAGAGCTGATCATTGCTTGCCAGATGACCCTCCCTGTTGTCGAGATGTTGGATGAGCTGAGAAATAGCCCACTGAAGTTCCAGAGACCAGTCTGAAGAAGGTGATCTATTAGTGTGCTTACCAAGCAGGCTAACAAACAGCTCCTTGTAATGCACATAGGCAGAAAAAGATGTTGGTGGGTTTTTGGGGAAGAAGAGCAGAACACACAGTGAACATATACAACTTTGATACCCACATTGGATCATCTTATCACAAGTAGTAATGTAATTCTGAGTGATAAGCCAGCAAATGAATTGACTACGAGGAATAGAAAGCCCTTTCCAAATCAGCTTGAACCAATTAACCAGAGGAAGCCTAGGCCTGAACTCCTGCCAGACAGCTTTGGTAAAGAAATTTGGCAACACTTTTCCTTGCCATTTTCCCACTCCATTCACAACTGTTAGCAGATGTTGCAATTCACTTCTAGTTTTCAGGATTTTTAGCCATAGCCATGACCAAGATTTACAAGTTGCAGACCAGAAGTCTTGATTGTGCAACCTGTATTCCCTGATCCAAGCGACCCAAATGGAAACTTGTTTCAACAGCAGGTCCCAAATATGCCTAACAATGCAGGCCAAATTCCAACCAACCACTGTCCACTTTCTATCATTTGAACCAACACCCCAAAGAAAATCATTACACATTTTCTCAATCTCCTTGATAACAACTTTGGGAATAATGAAGATAGCCATCCAAAATTGAGCAAGACTATAGAGGACAGATACCACAAGCTGAAGTTTGCCAGCATAACTCAGTGTTTTAGCACCCCCAACCTATAATTTTGTTTGTGATTTTGTCTATTAATGGAAAACAGGCTTTAATAGTTAGCTTACCAGGTATCAAAGGAACCCCCCCAAGTATCTCACAAGAAAATCCCCTAGTTTATACCCAGTCATGTGAGCCATACTAACCTCTCATTCCTCAGGCAAACCTCCACAGAAGATCTCACATTTGCAGGGTTTGAAACAAGGCCAGAAAGATCTCTAAATCTAGCAAGGACTGGCTGAATACACTGAACTCCATAGTTTGACCCATCAGAGAATATGAGTAAGTCATCCGCAAACATTAGATGGGTCAACCCTATACGTTTACACATAGAGTGAAAAGGAATTTTCTTGACTGTGGCTGCCTCCCTCATAAGACAACCAAAAACCTCCATGGCAATGGCAAACATGTAGGGGGACATAGGGTCCTCTTGCCTAAGCCCTTTCTTTGCAGAGAAATACCCCACCACTAAATTTGGGAGTAGTGACACACATATAAATCCACTTAATGAACCTCATAGGAAACTCCATAGCTTCAAGGACAGTAAATAAGAAGTTCCAATCCACTTAGTCAAAGGCTTTCATTGAATCTACTTTAACTATACTTCTAGGGGAAATTTTTTTCCTAGTATATCTCTGGACTAGTTCATGAGAAATGAGAATATTCTCACCAATCCCCCTGCCTTTCACAAACGCAGTTTGATTCTCACTAATCACAAGAGGCAAACAAGTACTCAGCCTAGAGTGATTGTTTTAGCAATGCATTTA